AAAAAAAAGGACCGTGTTTCCACACACTTGAGTCAAGTTATTTGGTCAGGTGTATTTTTAGTTACGTTTATTCAGTTTGCTTTAGTTCATCTTACAAAAAGCATTTGAGTATAGATATGTTTCCAGCCGTGGAACCACAGCCAATGCAATGGTTCAATCAAGTTCAGCTAGTTATAATAACTAGCTAAATATAACTTTTTTTTAGATGTTGGCAGTCTAAAGATAGCAGTCTGATTACATCCCTAGCACCTCCATTGGAGGATTTTTTTTTTAATAAGGCAACTTGGCATCTTGTTAGCAGGTCCTCAACCCGAGCACATGCTTGACACTTCACCAACTCACCCAATAAAGCAACAAAACAAACTCCCAACAATAAACATTAACAAGTCTTCCTATTTTCTCATCTTGCTAAAAAATTGCATAAACTAACACTTTATTTTATTTTAAAATAACCCGATCCAGACCCATGCAAAGCTTGATGGGAAGTGTAAAATTAGTTTTGAGCTACTTGATTGAAACATGCTCTTTCAAAATGAAAACATTGAGTTAAGCCAGAAAGTAAATGTTTCAGGTCAGTTTAACATGATGCAATTGTTTCTGAAAAAAAAATAATAAAAAAATCCTGATACAGTGGTGTTAAATCAAAATGAATTGTTTATATTGGAATTCTGTACTTTTTGTGGAAACAATTTTTTAATTCAATTCCAGTATTGGCCAAAAACCAGATATGTATTAAATATATTATGCATTCCTAAAGTTAGCTAAAGGAAACCAACTTAAAAAAAATGACATTTGAGATTATCCATGCCAACATTCTGTTCAATAAAAAAACATGCATGGGATTAATTGATCTGCATCTTTTATGCTTTTTGTTTGTCTGTATATTATGTGTATATATAGCAGTGCACAGTTCGTATGAACATTTTCCATTTTCTCTCCATTTCTTGTGTTTGTGTAGGATAGAAGGCAGAACGTGGTACACATCCCATAGGGGGCGCCTGTGGATTGCTGCTGCTGCTAACAGACCCACTCCTCAAGAGATTGCAGAGGTAGAGGCTATGTACCGCCACATTTACAAAGAAGGTGTGTTTAATGTCTGCAAATATATGACCTGTCATATAAAAAGACAAAACAAGAATAATATCTTGTACATAAAGAGATTGAAAACTATTTTTAGGGCTGTGAAGATTTTTTGCTTTGTAACTTTTTTTAATGACTATTCAGGACATTTCCCCCCAAAACTGTTTTTTGCAATGTCTTTGCCAATGAGGATCAACTTGAGTTTCTTTTTGACTGCTCAGGAAAACATGCAAGACATGTTTTACAGATTTATCTTCCTTCCTGAAAGAATTTGGTATTAGTTTAAATACACTGATGAATGTAATTTTCTTTTTTGGTGTAGACACATTGCCCTTTGAGACAGGAAGTTGGGACAGGATGTATCAAATTACATACTTGTACTAAAAAAAGTGCCTTTTAGCTCACTTCGCATCCTAAAATAACAAATGGGTCAAAGTTCGGCCAGTTTGCATATGGTCCATTTAGCCCCTGCTGAGCTTTGATTAAATGCATTTTTTTGCAAGCAACATTTAAATAATTGTAAAAATAATTTGTAAAAAATTTTAATCGTTTTTAAAATACCAAATTCGCACCCTTCAGCTAGAGGAAACCTCATGAACGCCGAATCGAGTGTACGTCTAGCCCCCTTTCGAATGAGACCACCCCCGTGTCGATAGCCCCCGGGTTCCGGGAGTTATGGGTGGTTAAAGGGGTCATATGATGCGATTTCAATTGTTCCTTTCTCTTTGGAGTG